TCTAAATATGTTATAATAGTTATAATTAAGTATGTAAACAAATAATTAACAAACAATCAGCTAATTAGTAACAAAGTTATGATAAATTAAGGGTTGGATGAACAAATAATTAGAAATTTGTTCTGTCATGAAAGTATTTTTATTTGTTTCGAAAATATAAATATGTTTCAAATATACGAAAAATTTATTTTTCATATTTATTGATACAAAAGATGCTTGATCTTCATATTTCCACGTAAAATTCTCCAATGGAAGCGAACCAAGATTTTCTACCTTCATATTTCCACATTAATTTTAAAAAAAAAATCACGGGTCGAGTTTTTTTGCCCCATTCGGGACGGAGCGATACCGGGACGAGGTAAATTGCCATCACTACAAGGCACAGTGAGGGATCGTGCACCGTTCGGTCACCAACACCCCGACCTTCTGGATTTTTCCTATTGAAGGTAGCATGTTCAAGGTGTACGGACTTCACTAAGAAATTAATAAATAAATTGGTCATTCCAAATACTCCTATCCCTCGGTCACTTACGGTGCAATAAAATTGAAATGTCAGGACCAAGGTATTTTCTTTTTAAAGGCTGGCGACCAAATTTATTAAGGGCTATAGTTCAGGATCAGCATAACAATTTTCCAGAAAATAATATATTTACATTACAAATTCAACCCTCCATTGGGTCAATGCTAGGTGTATTATTTAATTTTTCTTCATGATTATGGCAATTTGTTCTCAAAGTTTAAATAATTATTTGCTTCAACGAAAGCAATGATATCATTTCAATTATTATTATTATGATTATTATTTTTGTTGTTGTTTTGTTTTGTTTTGTTTTGTCCCGAGAAAAGAATGATGAATTTGTATATATTTGTTATTACATTAAAATTGAGTATTTTCGAAACCGTGTATGCACATGCATATTTGGCCCTTTTTATGGAAAAAGCTCTTTTACCACAAATTTTTTTACCTATTTGGTTGACACTCATTCACAAGCGTGAGCCCACTTTAATAAAAAACGCAAAAAAAAAAAAAAAAAAAAAAAAAGACTTGGGACCTGACTGCTATTGTGATTATCGGTCAAGGAGGGACACCCTCCCTGTTAGAGTAACATGGTTGTTTTTTTATTTTTATTATTTTCAAAATATATCTTTCCTTTCTTTTTTTTCAATTATACATTTTTTTCAATAAAATAATATTACATGCAAATTTAAAGCTTGTTTTATTTTTTAACAACCCATTTTTATCAATCTACTATTTCAAAATGTATTTTTAACCAAAAATGGGGTTCAAATTGGCTTGATATGCATGCAAAAGTCAACACTATTTTCGTAAAAAATAACTTTAAACTTAGGGATAATTGCAGCAGTAGGTCCCAAATCTTCTCTGTTTTTCGCAAACTTTACTTCAATCTTCACTTTGTGTCATTCACAATCCTAAAATTTTCATTTTATTGCAATAAAAGAACAAATGGAGATTGCTTTGACCCAAAAAATGAACTTTGATCAAATATAAAAATGCGAAATGAAAATTTTACAACTGCTAATTGACCCAAAAAATTAGAGAGATGCTATGTATACACCTCATGATAGGCACAATACATTACACCCCTCTCACATGAAGAAGGGTCCACGAATATTTTATTGTGTGTGGGCCCCCTTCACGTGAGGGGGTGTAATGCTATGTAAACACTATTATGTATACATAGTATTTTCCAAAAATTAACTTTGATCAAATATAAAAAATGTGAAATAATAACTTTACAAGTTTAGCATAAAATAATTTTATAAACTCAATTAAAAAAAGAAAGAGAAAATAGTGACGATTCATTTTCCACACCAACCCAATCCAACCCAACCCAAATCAACCCTCCGGCCACCGTCACTGGTCGCAATCGCCACCATCGACCTTTCCCACCCATTTAATCTTCTTCCCCAACCCTATCTCCTTTCCAATCCCCCACCTCCATCTCAAAAAAAATCCGCAAAATGTGCAGTAAATAAATCACTCGTTAAAGGTTCAAGATACGTAATAATGGATTGTGAATCAAAACCTATATAAATTTCAAGTTTTCGCTATAGACCATTTTAATATGTTGTAGGGGTGAAATAGAGAGTTGGTCGCATAACCAAAAATCTATAGGTGAGAAATATTAGATTCATGACCAAATGCCAGTTGCAATGGTGAATATTGATAATATGCAGTTGGTCTAATACGAACCAATGATGCAACATGTAGTATGGCATGATCCCAAATAGAAGTTGAAAGTTTTGTTTTCATAAGTAATGGTCTAGTAATAAGTTGTAAATGTTTAATAAACGACTCCGTTAAACAATTTTGTGTATGGACATGTGCAACCGAATGTTTAATTACAATCACAATTGACATACAATAATCATCGATTGTTTGTGATCTAAATTCACTAGTATTGTCAAAATGAATAGTCTTGATTGAGTAATCAAAGAATTGCACTTGTAATTTTATGATTTGAGCAAGTACTCAAGCGAATGCTACACTTCTAATTGAAAGTAGGCAATCATGTGATCATCTAGTAGAAGAATCAATTAATACTATAAAATAACGAAATGGTTCACATGGTAGATGTATTGGCTCACATATATTCCCATAAATTATTTTCAAAAAAGTTGAATATTCAATATTGACCTTTGTAGTTGAAAATCTAATGACTAACTTGCCATGCAAACAAGCTGTACATGTATAATCATTAGGTAAAAAAAATCTTCTAATTCGTTAAAGAATGTCCATGTGAGTTGTTTGTTATTTGAAGCATAATTATAGCTTATGGATATTCAAGTCTATCATGTCAAAGTATGAGACTCTTTGGGTCAACAAATTTCTAGTTCGTAACATTATTTGATTCAACCATTTTTATAAATATATAATACATGTCAAATGGGAGTAATGGTGTTTTACTTTTATCTTCTTCTCGCTAGATAAAAAAGATGTTATGCAATGCCATTTGACATTATTTCTTGCATTGTCTTAATGGGATATCCATTGCTGCGAATATTTTTAAAACAAAAGAAATTTGTTAGAATAAAGTGTATCGTCAATATAGAATTTGTATTATTTGGTAAAATAATACAAGCTCTTTCAGAACCTTCAACGATATTCGATGCAACTGATATTATATTAATATTATTTTCTGTTAATATTAAGTCCAAAATTTTTTCTCTTTAAGAATATTATGTGTAATTGCACTGTTAATTAAGCAGGTATTTTAACAATCCATCATGAATCTATAAATATAACAAAATAAATATATTTAAAAAATCTTGAATTTAAATTTAAATTTAAAAATGATAACCATAATTCAATGCTGCAAAAGTAACAATGCCTAATAAAACTTCAAATTTGTTTTTTGGCGAAAAGTAAAAACATATTTCAAATTAAATGTCTAAAATAAAGGGAAATAATAGAAACACAAATAAACTAATCTATATCTTCTGTCACGCCACCCAATCAAATTGTCAATATTTTCATTTAGATCAATAAAAAATTGAAGACATTCAAATGAGTCATATCAATTACACGATCATAATCAATAAAATTTATCATGCTCAATGTCCATTCATTTCACATCTTATGAACCAATGTCCTATATTTTATAGGGTTCAAAATAAGACAGACAATTGAAATAAAATAGATAATTATCAATAATTATTTCATTATTTTACAGCAGAAAAGAATTTTTTTTTGTTATAAAAATTCCAAATAAAAAGGGCTAAATTTGGCAGCTGTTTTGTAAGTGATCTGACTTGACATATCTACTTAATGGCCCACGTCCCACGATCACTGTATAATAAATTATTTCCAAAATTAAGTGTTGTCAAACAGACGCTAGGTGGCAATTGGGATGAATTTTCTGTGTTTTTTCGTACGTTTAACATTTAAATATAAAATTTTAAATATCACATCAACTCTAATAAAAAGCTTGCAAGTTGGATCAACCCAAAGCCAAAGTGACGACTCAATATCGATTTTCCAACAAACGAGGATGATAATAAGCAGGGGCGGATCCAGCCGTTTTGGGTTGTGGGGTCAAAAGTTTAATACATCGTATCTTTTGCTTTGGTCGATCATTTTGTACACCATTAAGAAGGGAAAAACTAGGCCATGAATGCTTAGAAATGATATTAAGAATGCAATATTTTCGTTTTTCATTTGGTATGTATTAAAGTGGGTCGAAAACGAGTTAAAACAACTATTTTTTGAATATAAAAAAAAAAAAAAAAAAAAAAACCCAAAATTTTGTGGGGTCATCTGACCCCACATGACCCCATGTGGGTCCGCCCCTGATAATAAGTACAACTCCATCCTCGCAATGCCCCTCTCCTTCCTCAATTCAAGTTATCAAGGCGGGGGGAGGGATTTTGTTCTCAGCAAGGATTAAGAACATAATTTCATCCCGACTAAGTTATTTATATAAATAATTTTTTCAATTTTTTACATACTTATATATAAATAATAAAAAATAAAAATAAAAATTTAAATAATCTAAGGGGAGATTGGAATTTGCTTTCCGGATCATTAATTATAGTTTGGGTGATTTATTTTAATGGTAAAGTTGACAAATTTGAGGCTTCCAAATGAGGTAAATGTTGTGGCCTATATGAAGGTGTTTGTGATGGGTTTAGGCTATTCAAGAATGTCGTTAAGTAAATCGAGTAAAGTAAGAAAAATCAATACGGAATGGATTGGTTTTTTGAACGGTGAGGTGACGATTGGAAACATCTATCAGCCGAAGTAGTTAGGCACTAACAGCTGTGGGTAAATAGAGTTATTTTCCAGAAAATAAGTATTTAACTATTATATATCAGTTCGTAAAATCTACATAAATTGTTTATCAGCCGAGGTAGCATGCCGGAAGAGTGTGAATGCACCCTCTGAAAGGTTTAAGAAAATCATACTTTGGCCTTTGTAAGAATGCATTCAGTTGTGCATGTATTCAAGGCAAAAAAAAATAAAAAAAATACATGATAAATAAATGAAAACCAGCAAATATGGTTATTACAACAAAACATATTATGTAGATGTTGAAAAGTTTATTGTTACAAGATCCTAATCCCTAGTTAAATTGCAGAATGCTACAGAAAATGTAATGATACAAAACCGATTCCTCGGTTATGACAGTAAAGAATGAAAATGAGAAACCAGTAAATTTAAGCAATAGTTGTGTCACCCTTCCTCAGCTACAAATCCTTTCCCAAACCTTAAATTTCGATTGGTATCACAGCCCAACATCAATCATGGGTGAGAATCTGTGCCAAGTTTTGTTATACCATTGCTAGATCATCCCAAGTAATTTAAGTCGAACCTTTTACTTTCAATCATTCTTGTCCATAAGCAAGTCTACAACGTTGAAACCTGCCAATATGCTAATCGACTGTCACTGTTTAGTAGCAGCTTTTATTGCCATTTACGGCCTGGAGGATCGATCCTTAACATCATTTCCACTTTCATTCTTAAAATCCGGGTAATTTCCGTAGTAAGAAGATCTGGGAACGATGTACTGAGTAGGCACTGCGTGATTTATAACCATGTTATGCTGTTCATTGCCCTCCACTGCAGAATTGTTGTAGTGTAACACAGAACTAATGACCTTCCCATGCCTTGCAGCAGCACCTCCTGCTGTGAAAGCAAAAGGAAATAAATACCATAGAGTGGGAACTCAACACGCAAAAATTAGAAAATAATACATCAGTCACTACCTTTAGTTCACCTCATTTATTATCTGTGCCATGTACTTATTATCTTGGAGATATCACAAAACTGCACCTTATCTATACTAAATAAGCTCATTAAATAATATAAGAGAAACTGCAAATAACAGACAAAAATTGCTAACGATCTAGGAAAGCATGACTCAAAGCTTGAGGTCATCAAATTCTCCTGGTAACAACAATGGTGACAGTCACAAGGCGAGCGCTCATCAAAATCCGGTTGACATGGAAAAAGAAAACTAAGAAGAGTAACAAAGAACATCTAATGCAACAGACCACATAGTGACTCTTGTTTGTGAAAAGAACTTGTACTCTCAAACTACAGTATAATTTGAAGTTTGAATTCAAAAGCTTCTATAGACTTTTCCAAAGCGTTCTACGCTTGTACATTATTATAGAAATTCCACTAAAAAAGTAGCTACAGAAAAGTAGATCAGATTCTTTCATCCATGAACTTCTTTGAAATATATTTTATGCAGGCAAACACAACAAAGAGATCCACAATGGAGGGAAGAGTGGAGGTGGTGGGAAGAGAGAAAGAGGGGGGACAACTTTTAAGCAAGTGCCATCAACACTGACAAGAAACAGAACATGATTTTTGAGAAGTATATAATGCAAAATAACAATCACCAAAATCAGGGTGATAGGTAAACAAATAGATCCATCACACACAATGCGGATGTTGATTATAATTATAGTAAAGATTTCATACCTTGGATGATTGGAAGAACTTGTAGAGGAAATATTTTCCTCTGAAGTATAGAAGCCTGGTCCACTCGTGGATTCTCAACTTCTTTAATGGTGCACTTAGAACAATCACTAGTGACATCAGCCAATTTCTTGGTCGAGTGATCTGAATATATTACACAAGGCCTGCATCCACACAAGTTTCGATGACCAGGATAAAAAATTTACAAACTTTCCGTTTGACAACTTAGGAGGCCAAATTTTGATAGTAATCATAGAATTATACGAAAACACTCATTGCAGTTTACCTGGGTAATGATGATGAGTGTTGCCTTTCAGGTGGAGCAACAGCTCCATTTCCATAATGTTCTTCAAGATATGCAAATTGCTTCTTAAATTTATCAACAGCACTGCAAAGAAAGATAATATAGAAACATTGAGATATGGTGTTAAGAGGCAAGATAGAATGAACTTGATGCTGTAAGACTCTAACCTGAAGAGACAAGAAATTAGTAGCATTGCTACTGATCACAATTACTATCTTCTGGAAGGGTACAGAAACTTAAAATGGAAAAGAAAGACAATATGAAAGTAGAGAAGAAAAATGTGACGTACAAAAACAGAAGTTTCTTAAGGTGTTGTCCTTTAACTGCTGATAACATTTGAAGCAAAAAAATACGCCATCAACATAAACCCATATACACTACTTAGAAATTCCTGATACCTCAATCAGGAATTTTGTAAACCGAATATCATATTACTTAATTAATAAATCTCTGAAGTTTCCAAAAGAAAATGCTATAGCTCTACCTAAAATAAATGTTAGTTGATACCAGACAATTAAGTGGCAGAACCATAGCTATACCTCTACCTAAAATAAATGTGAGTTAATACCAGACAATTAAGTGGCAGAACCATAGTACTTCAGGTTATAAATTCAACAATACTATCTAATAAAATCAAGTTAGGATTGAATTTTTTTTTCCTTTAATAACCTCCTGATGGTACACACATGCATAAAAACACAAGCAAGAACACAATATTTACAAGCACCTGAGAAATAGGACAAGTCCCCAAAAGAAACCTTCCATATAATTGAATTATCTAGAATCTTGCTATTGTAATGATTCTTTAGATGTTCCAAAAATGACGAAGTTTGATTAAAGGAAAAGAGAACATATAATACATTAACGAAGGATAAATAATATGAGTCAACACATCTAATTGAATTTAAATCCTCTATTGATAAGCATGAGGTTCGGTGTGATATTAAGCAGGCACAAATTCATAGTCATGTAGTCCATGACAAAGAATACATTACCAAATTTTGAAACTAATCAATTTTACCAATAATTGCATGTGATAAATAGTAAGATGTGAAGATCTTCAAATCAAAGGATATTGTCTCAGATGCACGTAGAAGAATGTTATATATATTAGTAGAAGTCCTAATGGAAATACCTAGGATACATGAAGCCTGTACGTTCAGCTCCATCTAAATGTTCTTTCAACATCTTTGGATGATATTCAAGGATCTCTCGATATATTAACTCTCTTACATCCACCTTTGTTATCCTTCGTCTTTCAAATTCAAATTCCAGTTTTGTAAATGGATCAGCAGAAGGTTCCCTCTCAACTTTTGCCAAGTTCCTAAAATACGGATCTGCCAGAGCCTGACAGCTTGCAACCAGCTTCTTTTAGAAAAAGGACATACACCTGACGTGATAATGCTAAAATTAACAAATATTTTACCTCTTCTGCAGAGGGCCGATCCTTAGGATCAAAAGCCAGCATCCTTTCCAATAAGCAAAGAGCAAGCGGGTCAGCATGTGGAAATTTTTGGGAGAAAGGAATATTCTTCTTCTTTCGCATGCTACTCAAGTATCTCCGGGCTTTTTCATTTTTTATCTGTCAGACGATACAGCTTCAGCAGAAGAACGCTAACAAGAAACCGAAGTTCTAAATCCCAACACTGCAAGAGGGCTATCATGACCACATACCCTTGCAATTATTTCATGAGGCGGTGTCCCCAACAGATTAGTCATGAGGTCTAATTGGTGGACTACATTTTTGCCGGGAAAAAGAGGCTTCCCAGTCAAAATTTCCGCAAATATGCAACCAATGCTCCATATGTCAATTGCAGGTGTATACTGTATTGAGATTGCAAATAAATATATATTAGAATGAAATCCCTTCTCATCACAAAGTATGGTTAGGTCATTTTATCTGTATATAAATAAGCAAGAAAAATTTGCACCTTAGAGAAAAAAGATCCACACAATTCAGGAGCTCTATACCATCTTGTTGCAACATAATCCTGTAAGAAGTGAATTAGAGATATGAAATATATCCCTTGTTCTTCTAAGTTCATATGGAGCTTCAAGTGCAAAATAAAGTTGTACGAAATTGAAACAATGAATGAAAGAAGTAAGAATAAAAACATACTGTCCAAAAGATTGTGGAAGGAGTGTCATGAAAGGCCACTCTTGCGAGGCCAAAATCACATATCTTTAGCTTGCAGTCAGCATTTGCTAAGATATTTTTGGGCTTAAGATCTCGATGAAAAACATTTGCTGCATGAAATAAAAGTATTTCTCAGAGCATATAACCTCGTTAAAGTCAACATTCACAAAAAACTTAAAATAATTGTATGTCTGTATAATTCCATTCATGAAAAAATCTGCAATCAAGTCAAGAAAGAGGTTGTTGAGCTACAAAACTGTAGCAATCATAGACCTGTGTGTATATACTTCAAGCCTCGAAGAAGTTGATAAAGAAAGAACTGATAATGTTCTGGAGTCAAATCATCATTTGCTTTAATGACCTGGTGAAGATCTGATTCCATTAGTTCAAAAACTACATATATGTCCTTGAATTCCTTTCTGGAAGGAGGCAACAAAATATGCTTGATTTCTACGATATCTGGATGACGAAGAAGCCCAAGAAGTTTAATCTCACGAAGTATACGTGTAGCATCAGAGACATGTTCAAAGATATCATTTATCTTTTTAATTGCAACCTTTTCACCAAGATGCATGTCAAATGCAGAGCAGACAACTCCATAGCTACCTTTACCAATCACTTCATCAATTCTATACCTGCTACCTTCACCATATTCTGTCAAGAAATCTACTTCCATAGATGACTGCAACATCACAAATAAATAACATTTCATCAAAATATCGCCTCATATCAAGTTCAGAAAAATGTTTGAGCAACTTAATTTCAAAGATCTGGAAACTGAATTAAAAGAAAATATTCTTAACTCAAACCAAGTATATGTTGACATGATAGCTGTTGAAGTGAACACAAAGTAAAATGCATTTTTTCTAACCCCTTTTTATGCAATAAGACTGTACAAAATTATAGCATGCACGCCTCACTTTTCTATCACTTGAGACACAATCAATTCCTAGCACAAACCTCTTGCTGCACGACTCTGCTCTCTTAATCACTTTCGCTCCCTCCACTCAAACACTCAATTCCATTCATGCAATCCCATAATACATGCACAATCTCCTCTCTATAGTACTGATAAGTTGGTTGAATTGCACTATCCATAAATCTAGATTTATCTATAAGTGGCAGTGGGCTGCAAGCTAGGAATCTCCCAAAATCTATCGACAAGTTGCATGAAACAATCTCGATAATTATAAAACATATAGCAGGTGATAAAGAGATTAATGGAAGGCTATAGAAACTTCATTAATCATCAAAGTCAGTGGTGATTCTTCAATAACATTGTAGCTTAATATTTTATTGATAAGAAAGGCAAAAGGAGGAAGAAATAAGATAACGGCTCAACTATATCCAGAACAATTAAATGACAAAAATATCACAACTAAAGGATGATCTTCACTCACACGGAAATATAGCAAATAAAGATTAAATTTTAACTTTGCCAATCATCGCAATCTACAATAACATTAATTATTCCATAATATTGTTAAAAACATTTATGTTAAGAATGTCATAAAGAAAAGATGTGACGAAAAAAACCTAGAAATAAGAAACTACAACCAAAAGTACCTCACAAAACTATAAACAATAAATAATGTAATAATTATTAAATACGAAATAAGTTTCCTAAATCCTTTAGAAATTGAATTCAATCCAAATATCAGAAATTATAAATGTAATCTTCACACACACACACACACACACACAAACGGATTCTAGCGATGCAGGAAATACAAACCTATAGAACTCAAAATATTAAATTCTATCCCACATATTATTACTTCAATACAAGAATCAAGCAACCAAACACCAATTAGATTTTGCAAAAATATAATTTATAGTTAAAAAAGAAAGGTGTGTACCTTTACTCTCCGATCAAACTGCATAGTTTAGCCACAAAACATCTAAAAAACGAATAAATAAATTCACTCAGCTCACATCAGAACTACGAAATATTAGGCTTTTCAGCCAGAGACTCAACACTTACATGGATGATAAGAGAAAATAGAAAATTTTCTGCGCACAACGAGTGGATGGATTAAACAAAATCCACGGACTACTTTTGAGTGACAGCCCCAAATTTGATGCCAACAGCGTGAAAAAAGAGAGTCGTTCAAGGGTTGATCTCTGTCAGTATGACATCCAAAGATTACCATGATTTAAAGACATGATTTTTATGGGGATAAAGATTTAAAAAGTGGCTTTTAGCTTTAAAACTTTTTTTTGTTGAATACGGATGTGAATCATATGAATCATACCTTTAGCCCCTTTTGCCGCAAGATAAATTTCATTACATTATATTTCATTTTTTTTTCTATTTTTAATTACAAAATTATTTATAAAATAATATTACACGTAAATCGAAAATTATTCTTCCTTTTTCAACAACTCATTTTTCATAAAAATACAATTCCACCAATTTTCATTTTTCGAAAATAAGGATCAAACAAGGACTTATTGAAAATGATTACTTCCTCAACTTTAAGGCTTAATTCCCTTTCGACAAACCCCTGGTTGTCCAATAGGGTATGTGACGCCCCCTCCTCCCTCGGACAACCAGGTGGTTGTCAACCAAGAATGGTCCATATAGAATTATTGAAAATTTTTCGTAGATTTTTAAAGACTTTTATTTTAAAATATTTATAAACTTTTGTAAAATTTAGAAGACTATTTAAGGACTTTCATTTGAAGTAAAATTCACGTGGATCCAATTTAGTTAAATTTAATTATAAATTTTTAATATAAAATTTTATAATTTAATAAAAAATAAATATTTTTCACGAAAAAAGAAAAAAAAGTTACAAGAATCTAATTTAATTTTTTCATAGAAAATAAAGATAAACAATAAGAGGGAAAAATAAAAATAAAAATAAATATAATCAATAGAAAATTAAATTTTAATTATATCTCTAATGTTCGTAAAAGGAAAAATAAAATAAAAAATTTGATTTTTTTTTTTTTTTTTTTTGGTGAAAGTCTCACAAAATCTAGTGATTAATGAAAGACAAAATTTGAAATTTAATATGAGTACTTTCTACTTAAAAATTAGTACTCCAAAAATTTTAATAAAAATTTCTAAAAGTCATTAAAATTTGAATGCCTCAATACTTACAGAAACCCCCCAATAGGAAACATACCCCCCCCCCTTGGACAATCGGGGTTTAAGCCATTTTATATAAATCTATGAAAAAAATCACGAAATCCACATAAGTTACTAGTTAAAAAAAGTCCATAAAAGTCAAAGTCTTCAAAAGTTTCAACCGAATACACCCTTCCCTAAAATACTTATTTTTTCGAATGGATTTTAAAGGGATAATTTCGTCATTAGTCACTGAATTATAACATATTTCAAACTCGTCTCCATTATTTAACCGATAAATAATATGTCAACAAGTAATAACTGTAATACGATGACATGACATTTTTTATTGATCATTGTGCTAAAATAAACATTCCATGTGTAACTGTTTAGTTTGCTAAACTTGTTTTATTTAGTCTGTCTCCTATTTATGATGTCTTTCTCTACATTCTAACACCGATTAACCATCAAGATCTATTCTTAGGTTTTTTCTCAAATTAAAGGAGGGACCATTATTCGAAATCATCAATAAGGATTTTTTGTTCTTTTTTTTCTTGGGTTGAAGAATGAGCGACCACTTCATGGTAGGAATTTTATCAATTTATGAGTTTGTTTTTTGGTTTTTTTTTTTTTTGTTTTTTTTTTTTTTTTTTCTTTTTTTGGGTTAATGGTTCGTCTCCTTCAAGATTAAAAAAATAATTTTTTGTCTATTTTGTGGAGTTCACTTATTTTATTAAAAAATTTATATTGGATCGATGAATAATTTTGATTTTACCTAAGATGTAACTTTACATGAAGTGGCTCATTATTATTATTATTATTATTATTATTATTATTATTATTATTTCTAATGTTCATGTGAAGTACTAGGACATATCCTAGACTATCATTAGTGATTGGAATTCTAGGTTCATTGAAAGATTCTGAACACAAGCGTTTGTATTTCTCAGTTCCAAGTTCAATTTCTATACAAGCTTCTACCTTAAATACAAGTTTCATACTTAGCTTGGAACTCGTTCAATGCTAGAGAAGTAAAAATTCAATCTTGCTTCATTGCTGACGTATACGGTTTAACTTCTGCCAGAAAATAATGATTCATATGGGAGTATTTATCAGAATAGTGGAATAAAAGCATTACAAGAAAATGAGACTCATTTTTCGATTGCCCACAAAACAAACATTTACAAAGATTTTGAGATTGTCAATCGCTCTTTTAGTATGTAAAATAGTGCAAAAAGGAAATGAGACCAAGGATGTATTGGGCCACAACATCAAATTTCAAATATTTAGCGGAAATTATATGTAATACCCATTTTAAAATGAACAATGCTATTCATAGTGAAGGTTATCGGTATGGGGCAATAAAAAAAATATCACATTAATTCGTCAAATAACAAATTATCATATGTATATCATGTAGGACAATTATCGGGTAGTCTTCATATGAATAGCATTACTCAACACTTTTAAAATGATAATTCATATAGTACATTCCAAAAAATTTTATACTAATATTACTGCATTTTACATAGTAAAAATAGAAAACAATAAACAACTAAATGCAAATTGATTTTCTTGAAAGCTTCTATTACTCCATAAAACAAGCCCCTATTTTATTAATTCAATTAATGTTCGAAATCCCAAAGTTTTAGCCTTTACCAAATAAAATCCCCAATTCCACATAACAATATTCACCTAAAATCAAAATCCCAAATCCCAGAAAAATCACAAATCACCCCCAGATCACTCATCTTCATACCTTATTCCACGAAATCCATGTTTTGTATACCAACTTAATGTTCTTTATCATTGAATGTTGAATTGTTAAGTGTACACGAGTGACATCTATGGAGTTACAATCCAATGCCATCTCTAGAATTCCAATCTTTTTATACTAATATTATTGCATTTTACATAGTAAAAATAGAAAACAATAAACAACTAAATGCAAATTGATTTTCTTGAAAGCTTCTATTACTCCATAAAACAAGCCCCTATTTTACTAATTCAATTAATGTTCGAAATCCAAAGTTTTAGCCTTTATCAAATAAAATCCCCAATTCCACATAACAATATTCACCCAAAATAAAAATCCCAAATCCCCGAAAAATCACAAATCACCCCCAGATCACTCATCTTCATACCTTATTCCACGAAATCCATGTTTTGTATAACAACTTAATGTTGTTTATCATTGAATGTTGAATTGTTAAGTGTACACGAGTGACATCTATGGAGTTACAATCCAATGCCATCTCTAGAATTCCAATCCAAGTTTATCTCTAACTTACCGTTATAGATCTTATCCAAGTTAAAGGGATTAGTTTGCTAATTTGTTTGATTAGTTGCACAATTTTCAAACGAAGTGCTATTATAATTAGAGTGTAATGAAATCAATATTGTTTGAAAGTCGTTTGAATCATGATTTTGTACTTGTATGTGCTACAAATAAGCGGAGTTCATAAAATACTCTTTATTTAGATTTTCTCTACTAGAGTTGATCGAGTATCAATATTATATTTACTAGCTACTTTTCTTGATATCATGGCTTGGAATGTTAAGTTAGTCATAGATTATGATGGTGGTGGTGTTTTTGAAAGCAAAACTTAGATCAATTGAAGATCTACTTGTTTCTCGACAATCCATCATTGTTGAAGACACATCTTTTTGTATTTTCAGTAAATTATCTTGGTACATAGTGCAGCATCTCATTTTAACATTTATAATAAGAAATGTACATGAGATGTGGAGCTTTATCTACTTCACAGTGAGAGTACATGCTATTGGCTTTGTTGCTAAGTGAAACGACAAGTTTATAACAGTACATGCTATTGGCTTTACATCAATTAGATAATATAACTAGTCTCCATTTACATGACACATTACATACACAAGTTTGCCCATCAAATGATGTAAATAGTCCTCATTTACATTATAAATTTCATGAACAAATTTTTTATGATTGTAGACATTAGATATTTCAGAAATTTATTAGTAAATCCGTTAAAAGAGAAAGGCCCGATCTTGTTGTAGTTTGCATCTGTAACACAAGCCAACAAGATAAGATTCAATTTTTGTCAGGATCAATGGAGGCTTGCCTCCAAGGCAACTCCATAGGGGGGTTGATGTAGCTTAGAATGAGGAAAAAATGGACTAAAATGAAATGTTCAATAGACTACTAGGTACCCATCATGGGTGACATAATTGCATGTAACCTAAACTCTATTGTTACATTCTCATCTCCAACCTTTCAGAATTGAGTATCTTTTATGTTAAAAATCTGAACAAGACTTGATTGTTCTTGTCCTAAAAGAGAGGCCTTTAGGAAAAAAATTCCCTACAAATTTTGACATAAAAATCTAATAAATATCTAAAAACTATTTTACAATTCAAATAATGTCGTTTTTAATAATAAATAAATCAAAATGGTAGTAGCATTCGTGCTGGAATAATACATAAAATTCGTTGTCTTTGCCTCGAGAAAACTAAGAAAAATCATAAATATGAGAATGCTTTATAGGCAAGTGAGCAAAAATAAATTACACTTCCATGATAATCAAATTGAAAGAAGAGATAACAGAAAGAAATTGACGATTTTGAGTTGTTGAGGAAATCTTGCCACTGTAGCATGGACAGAGTATCCACATTAGAATATCATTTCTACTATGAACATCAAAATGATTGTGATACAATGTCTCGAGCCCCCTTGCTAAAATCTTCCATATTACAGGCTAAATAAACTCGATTGCCTTAATATTTATGGCTATGCCTCCTGCGAAGCAGCTACGTGTACATAATTGGCTCACAGAAGCCATACAGATGAGCCGGTAAGCATTTTTTGAAAAAAAAATAAAAATGCATCAATTAATCGAAGGAAAGCAAAACCAATCCCTCTTTACCCTCGCCGAACGCACACCCAGTTTTTGATCGCCGAACCTACGTCGTGAATCATTAATTTCCACCAACTTCACCGCCATTCTCTTCACTGTCTCCGATTGCCGTCTATCCGTTGAACAACAAAGAAGTCAATATCTTTAGCTTTGTAATATCACCGACCATAAAAAGGTAAGATTTTTGGGGTTTTGAACAAATTAGGACTTGTACATCTTTAACATATTTTGGTTGATTTTGTGTTTAATGTTTTCTTCTGGTTCTTCCCGGAGCCCGTATGAAGGCTTATTTTCTTTGGCCATCCTCTTTATATTTGTGTATCTATCTGTATATAGGAATGTGATGTATATGTATTTCTTGCTCCACATAAAGGGATTTAAATATCAAGCTTTGAATTAGTGCAAATTTGAATCAGACCCATCATTTCTACATTCCCATTTTAATGAAATTTACAGTTCTTGGTTAAACTGGTACAAGAAAGAATTCATATCCGTGATTAAAGGAGCATTTGATTGTAATATTTGAATTTCTTCACCACAATTTCACGCACTAGAATAGAATATATAAATGGGAGATCATATTCATTCAGAATCATATTTGTTTGTGACCGCAGAAGGGGACATTAAAGTGGTTAGTGATTTATGACCCTTTTAGATTACGAAAGTAGTTATAATAGCAAATCCTTGTCTGGTTTTGATTTTGCCTTTTTGGCGATGATAGATATTCTTGGTTGTGTTAAAAAAAATTAGGACTTTGTACATCTTTTAATCAAGTCAGTATGACAATTAGCATGCTTTTTCTCAATTACACCTGACTCGTTTTATCTAGCCAAACAAGAGATAATTTAATTACATTTGTGTGCATCCATGTACTTCCTACCTTGTGGGATCAAATGTGAGGACTGCCAATTTGTGTGACAATGGAATACTAGTTCCTAATTGTCCTTGCTTGGTTTGGAGTGGGTATCTACAGGCAGTGTGAGCGAGCATAGGCTACTGTCATGACTCTAGCCTGGATCTCACTAATCATATACGATAAGCTATTGAGATCATAAGTTCCCGGGTCTTGATTTTCTGAATATTATTGGTACAAGAAAGCCATCAGATCATAAGATTTTCACGTGCTTGGGAATTGGAAGTTAAGGCCTTTCTTTAAATTTGATTTGGCTTTCACATTTGAAGCTCTGGTTGACATCTAAACAATTGTAATGTGGTGATCAACTTGTATTTTTGGAATTGTTATGCTCTAATCTATAGAAATTGTTGTATGTTATTATGTGAATTTGTAAATTTACCACCTTTGCTCCTTGCTAGTGTAGAATTGAGAAGAACAAAACCAGTTATATTTTGAAACACTTAGTAGCTATATGTACTGCTCTTTGCTATGACTTGGTAGCTATATGTACGCTAACTTGGATGCATATGATTGTTTTCCATGTAGGGATGAGGAAGCAGGAATTATAGTGTTTGTTACAGTTGTCAAAGCACAGATCACTTCTTCGGAGAATGCCACAAAAAACAACGTTGTCCATGGTGTGTAGATGGAATCCAAAAATGTTTTGAGGTTTAAAATGAGGGCAATAACAAAGGCCAACTATTCAAAACTTGCAATAATGACTACGATTTTTTTAGTTGGGTAATAGAAAAAGCAAGTGGCGAATCAGTACCATTAATGAAGCAATAAATCCTACTGTGAATGAAGAAGTCGATGAGTTGCAAAATGTTCGAAAGTCTAGCTCGAATAGCCGAGAAATGAAACCTAGAGATTTCATTGAATGTGACATTCTGCAAGGGTAAAGAGTCCTCAGAAGATAATGGAAAAAGAAAGGGGTCAGCATAATGCATAATTATATTTGATGTTGCAATTTTTTGTAGTTATATTGTTCGATTCATAATATCATGAGAGGCTGGGAAATTATTCCTGTAACTCATCAAACTTGATGTACAACTTATGTTGGTGTATATTTATTCGAATCAAACTATGTTAATGTACCTTGATCTTACATCTTGATAATAAATTCATAGTCATCAAATCCAGATCTTCATCCACAAAATTCATGATCATGAGATACAAAATGTTTTACTTTAACTAGATAATGAAAATTACAAATGTCAGATGCAATACATGAAGTAAAAAACGTGTCCCGAAAATCCTAATAGGATAAATAACAAAGTTCCTTATATTATAATATAGCAGATCATCTCCATTTTGCCAAGTCATACCCGAATCTGCTTAGAAATAATTCTTCATCCATGGTTCATATGCTTGGACCACCTTCTTGTGGGAAATGTGGATAGTTATATAGAATCAAACGACCCGTTGTACAATACGAACGTAAATACATGCCAAAAAATATACACTAATGCAAATGTGAAGATTTAAACGTGTATAAACCTTGATCACTAAATATGACATTTGTTGATGTTGGGGAGACCAAACTTTAGACTCTCAAGTGTTGCAGGAAAGCCCGACTTTCTGCATCAACCAACATCGTATAATAATGCAATTAAAGTTTCAAACAAATCATCATAATAAACTAAGTATATTATTGCGAATACAAAAATGATGTTTGCATAGAATATTGTTGAAATGCTTGAACGACGGGTACAGATGGTGTATTACTATACCTGAAAGTCGCTCTTTTTTCTCTGGTCAAAGTCGACGTAGCCCACATATACATCATGTTGTATGCTGCTTGTAATGGAATATTGTTTAAGTTAACAAAAATCGTGACAAAGATACCTTTGCTTTCTTGGAAGAGGACTTCAAGTGGCATTTTCTCCGAAACTTCTTTGGCGCGTTCTTTCTCTCGTAGATATAGGATCTCGTATGCTCTTGTTGGCACTGTTTTCAAATTGATTTTATTGTGAGGCTAACTGAATAGTGCGATTTGAAACTGGTTACTTCCAGTGTTTGACTTTATTGTAATCAACTCTTGCTTTTGATTAGTTACCCACTCCTTGATTGCATAGCAGCTCACTTCATCATCAGCTGCAAGGTTTGTAGCCTCGACAAATGTCTGACACATATCATCGTATCTCAACTGTTCGGGCATACTAACGAACCGTTATAGTTCACTATAACCCTGGTGTGTTCTCTACAAATGTTGCTCTTCCATCTTTGTAGTATATACCTCTCCGACAGAGATGTAACGTCATTATGGATCAACACTACGATAGCATGATGGTATAGAATTTCTCGAAACTCAAACAAATGGCAACTATAAACAATTTCACAACTATCTCGCTGAAATAAGATGAAAATCCTTTTTATCTTCCATCTGTCATCAAACACGACAACCTCCCGTATTTCGTAGGTCAAGCTTGATATTCCTTCTGTACTAGACATGATGTCACAATAAACTTTCCCAATCAACTCAACTTGAATTTTGAAATGGTGTAACATTTCTGATTTTGCTTCTCCATTTCGAACATTGTCGTACATAGTACCATTTGGGAGTATGACTTGAAGTTGACCTGGAACTCATTCTCAACTTTATTCCTCAGTGCGTATTCATACTGTTCGACAAATTGCTTCAACAATATTTTTGAATGAACATACCCACCGAAGAATGCATTCATATTCTCACTTCACTGAGTTGTTGGCATCCTTGCCCAAAATGTAGTTTTGAAATAGTAAGGAACCCAGTGACCTCTATTACCAAACAATCTCGACAACTACTCATTACTATGTAAAACCGTATGTGTCAATCATCGCCCTCCAACATTCATCAAATTCTTCCACGAACTATGAATCATATACCAATGCATGTACAGTCGAAAAAATGGAAGCCTTATCAATGTGGTTCCCAAACTTTTGGGTAACTTCTTCAGAATATGCCACAAACACCATCTATACTTCGTATTAAGGAAAACAATCTGAATTGCATTTTGCATAGCCCTATCTTGATTAGGAATGATTCTACGAAGAGCTTTTCCATGCATACATTGGAGCCACATCCTAAATAGTCACACAAAAGTATTTGTGTCCTCATTGGACAACAAACAACAATCGAACAATGTTGATTGTCCATGATGATTAAAGCCAACAAAATGAACGAAAGGCATGTCATACTTATTGGTTAGATTAGTGGTATCAAATGTGACAACGTCGCCAAACTCCTTGTATGATTGCCTAGACCTATTATCTGCCCAAAATACATTTTTGAGTCTGGATTCATCGTCTAAATCCATACTAAAGTAGAATCCTAAGCACTAAGCTTGGATCTTGGAAAAGTACGACTATATCGTTGTGTCATCTCCTTCACCAAGTCTTAATCGTCTTACCTGTTCAATATATTTTCGACAATCATTTTCCACGCAAGTCATATTTTCATATCGATCTGCTTCAACCACTGCAGAGTTAAAACTTTTGTGCAAGGGAATTCTAGCCATATTATTTACTTCAAGCTTCTATTTCACGTGTGAATTTAATTCTCGATTATAACGATACAACATCGACTTCGAAAGACTTGTTTTATGATTGTGGTCAATGTGGACTGTATTTATTTTCCAGATTCCATGAATATTTGCAGATGCAGTGATCCTGGCTTTATAATCTGTCTAAATTGTTGGTTGGGGCTTCAAACAACCACTGGTGCTGGTAGGCCTTCGACCTTCACGGCTACATGTTTAAGTCACACATTTCATTTTTTTGTCGTCCCCCTTTTTCAAATTCCTTCTTCCAACCGGAAAACATATATATATATATATATATATCTTTTGTAAAAATCCCACAATTCTTTTTCATCCTTGAATATCATACTCACCTCAGGCACCATCAGACCGTTTTAACGTTTTCTTCTCCACTGACATCATATTATCTGCAACATTGTCATCGACATCTCTCTCTGCAAAAATTTCATCACATACCTCTTCCATAAAACCTTTTGCTTCAACACAATCGAATGCAATTTTCAGCAAACCAATTACAGTTTAATATGTAAATGAAAATGTAATCTAAGTTTAGACAAATTATAGAACAACATAAGCTAATGAAACAACAAAAAATGATTCATTGAGTTCGAATCACATTATCATGGAATGATACCTTGCCAAAACCAAAATGCTAACGAATTTGAGAATTATTGGGATTTTTTTTCACATAATAAAAGTAAAGAAAAAATACCAAGCCAAAAGGTAGATAACAGTGAAGAATTATTCTCACTAAAGAAGGCAAACACCTTATACACTAGTATAGATAGCAAAGGTAAGTTTAAGTTTTCCTATTTAAGTACAGAAATGTGATTTTTTGACAAGTCCGGACAGTTTAATTTCATATCTTTAATTGAATTCAAATTCCACCATTTATTTAGGTATCTCTAAAAATGAATTCTTCGTTCCATCGTCGAAGTTGGACATCACCATCTTCACTGTCGAGGAAAATGTATAGGACGACTTCAGATCGGAAGTGGACAGGTGAAATCTCGAAAATGGGGGGATTCGACGGGGGCGATGAAACTTTAAAGTAGGGAGAATTGAGTAGTAGGGCGGTGAAATCTCAAAAGTGTGGTCTTTTTTTTGTTTTTATATTTTTTTGACCAAATTGGTCAAAAAAAGTCAATGTAGCTATCAAATTTTAAATTTCTATATTAGTTCTGTGAGTCGCCGTCTGTACAAGAGGCATTAGTGATGCCTCCTGCTGCAGCACTTTCTTTGTTGGCTTCAGTCCTTGGAATCGAAATCTAAATTCATGCATGAATCAGAAGACTCGGATGAGGAATTGTACTTTCGATGCCTCATCTTCATTTGCTTTTCTTTTGTTATTTCGCTTTCTCCTCCTCTCTTCCTTCAAATCGGTAGATGAACTGTAACTCGATTCAGTCTTCCCAGAAGATTCATCCAATCCAGTAACTGCATTGTCCGACTCAAATACTGAAGTCTCACTATCCTTATCAAACTCGGTGTCCAACTTATGCTTCGACTATGAATGATTACTTTTTATTTTAGTGAAGAAAACGCGACGTGTCACATACAAGTTAAACGTAAATGAAATGCATTTATCACATTTTTCAAATTTTTGATCAACGATCAAGTTGACAGAAATCTGAAGAATATGCACTCTCATGATTTCCATTACAGGTAAATCAAAAACGAAAATCTGATTAAAAAAATATAGATGTTTCTTTACACTTTTTTTTCTTGTACACATAGAATGTATTTTGATAGAAATGACAGACATCGTGAAGTTTTTCGCGTACAGGTTACTGATACTTTACAAGTGATTTTACTCACACATTTACATATACTACGACAAATCATTGTAGTTAGAATAATCAAACCAACATAACAAGAAGGAGCAACAATCAGCAGCCTAACAGAATTGGTGGTGCACGGTGGAATAAATGCAGTTAGAGCACATGGCAAATTCTGTTAGATCAAAATATTCTTTTTGTATCTAAATGCTTGTATAGATTCTTTGTGTATATGAGGCAGTAGAAATGTAAAAGATCAAGGTAACTTTCAATCAATTCATTTCTGATTTCTCACTTGGTATCAGAGCTGAAATGGCGAACACCAATACTAGCGATCAAGTTGCCCCATCGGAATCAGTCACCACACCATCCTCCCAAATTGGTACAAACCAGATCTCACCCTTTGTAATGAGCCTTACTCAAACCCCATCAGTAAAACTTGATAGGAACAACTTGCTGTGGAAAAACATGGTTATTCCTATAATCAAAGGGCATAACTTAGAAGGTTACCTACTTGGAACCAAAAAGTGTCCACCAGAGTTCTTAGCCACACAAACCACCACTGCTGGAGGAGAGGCAGTAGAGATGGTTCAGAACCCAGAATACAACAAATGGGTTTCAACATATCAGCTACTAATGGGCTGGTTATACTCGTCCATGACTCCAGAAATAGCAATGAGAGTCATGGGGTGCATAAGCTCAAACACACTGTGGACAGCAGTAGAAGAAAGCTACGGCATATTGAACAAATCAAGAGTGATGTTCCTTATGGGAGAATTGCAGAGAACAAGAAAAGGG